ACCTGCGTAATCAAAGATTGAACAGATTGAATGATTCTATCCACAATCCTGCTATGTTCTGGAAACAAATTCGTTCATTTAGAAAGAGATCAAATCCTAAAAGTAATATTTCAAAATGTGAATGGATGACACATTTCAAGACAGTTTTTTCTAATGATGCTGTTTTTCCAAGCGATGGTTATTCCTTCGATGATGATATTATCTCTTCGAATGACTATGACACTGTTGATCAAATGATTTTGGAAACACAAATTTCAGTAGATGAGATAAAGAATGCTATAAACAACTTAAAGAGCGGAAAAGCAGCTGGTCCCGACAATATTGTAATCGAAATGATTAAATGTTCTCAAACGGAGTTAATGACCTTCCTCCATAAGTGTTTTAATACTGTATTTGAAAGCGGTTCGTTTCCAGAAAGCTGGTCTCGTTCAATTATCGTCCCTATACATAAAAAGGGGGCTCAAGACAATCCAGATAATTATAGAAGCATATCTTTAATGAGTGTTATTGGGAAAATATTTACAACTGTTTTAAACAACAGAATCTCAAACTGGTCAAATCTAAGAAACTTAATTCCTGAATGTCAGGCGGCTTTTAGAAAAGATTATTCAACTACTGACCATATCTTTACACTATATGCAATAATACAAAAGTGTCTATCGCGTAATAAACACAAACTTTATGTAGCATTTGTTGAGTTTAAGAAAGCTTTTGACTCTGTGGATCGTTGTAAATTATGGCACTGCTTACGAAAGTCTGGTTTACAAGGGAAAATGTATTCTATTTTAAAATCTATGTACTTGAATATTAAATCATGTGTTCGTTGTGGTGATGATGTCACCGATTTTTTCGACTGTCCCATGGGAGTTCGGCAAGGGTGTATTTTAAGCCCTGTATTGTTTTCCTTCTTTATAAGCGAACTGCACTATGATATTTCCAATGCAGGTAAACATGGTGTGCAAATGTTTCCAGATATGATTGAAATTTGTATCCTCCTTTTTGCCGATGATGTAATTTTAGTGTCAGATACTATCGTCGGTCTACAAAACCAACTGAATATTTTGGAACGTTATACAAATGAATGGCAATTATTTGTTAATTTTGAAAAACAAACATAGTTATCTTTAGAAGAGGTGGGCCTGTCGCCTCTAAAGAAAAATGGTTTTTGAGTGTCAAAAACGTATCTATTGTTAATCAGTATACCTATCTCGGACTATTGTTTTCCCATACCATGAACTTTAAAAAGAGTGTTATAGACCTGAAATCACGTGCTAAGAAGGCTCTTATTAATGTTATGTCAGTTTCCCAGAATTTTGGAATTTTAACCCCGAAAATATATTTTAAATTGTTTGATGCACAAATCCAACCGATTATGCTTTATGGGTCTGAAATTTGGGGATTTCAACGTCATGAATGTCTAGAGAAACTACACCTTTTAGCATGTAAAAGATTTTAAATGTAGCGCGAGCAGCACCAACTTGTATGGTTTATGGAGAATGTGGTAGATATCCGATATATATAAATTCACAAATCAGATGTTTAAAATATTGGTTAAAGATCCTTGGAATGCACGAACAAAGAATCCCCAAACTAGCTTATAACATGCTTGTACATTTAGATGATAGGGGTAAGACAACATGGGCATCTCATTTTAGAACTCTTTTATTTTCTCATGGCTTTGGATTTGTGTGGCTAAATCAAACAGTTGGTAATATTAATCTATTTCTTAAGCAATTTCGAAAACAATCTGTTAGCATGTATTATCAAGAATGGCATTCCTGTCTAGACAATAGTTCAAGATACCAGTTGTATAGATCACATAAGAGCTTAATTCAACCAGAACTATATCTATCTGTATTGACATCTAGAAATATCAGACGCACACTTGTCAATTTTCGATTGGGCTTGTTAGACTTATCAGTAAATAAGGGCAGACGATTTTCAATAGAAAGACGTTTAAGGATATGTCCATTATGTAACTCGGCTATAGAAGATGAAATTCACTTCGCTTTTGTATGCCCACATTATGCTGATTTAAGAAAACAATATATCCCAAATAATTACCTGTTAAAATATTCTTCATCTGCCTTTGCTTCCATTCTATCCTCCAAAAATGAAAATGTAATACGTAATCTTGCGTTTTATGTAAAACATGCTGTTTTCCTTAGAAGCAATATCTTATCTGAACTGTAATTTTTTTGTGAAATGTCTGTAACATGTGCTGTATAAATTGTATTCCTTGTATATGGGCCGGAGGCCTTAAGTACAATAAATATCTTTGACTTGACAGTTTAACCATTTAAAAAAAACACCCATGAAATTACATCTACTGTATTTATTTGTAATAACTAACTGTTATATAATGCTTTTATTACATATACAAATATATATATGCATACAAACATATACATATAGACTGAGTGTGTGGGTGCGTGCGTGCGTGCGTACGTGTACGTGCAAGCGTGCGTGCCTGAGCGTATGTTGGGCGGTCTTGGGTGTGGGGAAGTATATCCCGTTCAACCAGAACTTGTACTCAGGCTAAAATTGTGTTTCTAGCCTTTCATTCTTTAAAGTGCAGGTAACGTAACACGGTATCAGTGTCCTTAAACTCCAACGAGTTACGTCCCTTACACCATAAACAGATACACATGTTTCTGTTATCAAAATGATCTGTTTCTTTCTTTGTATAACGCCGCACTGAGCAATGTGGCGGCGGTCTGGGTCAGAAAATCCCAAAGCATTTGTATTGGGACACGATGACATGTGTCAGCCAAGTCATTGAGGATGACCACCCGATCCCAATAGTCGCCTCTTACGACAAGGAGATGCGGAAGACCATTTCTAACCCGGGCTCTGCACAAGTCCAAACATGAACTCCCAACTGTGAGATTACATGACAGCAAAACGTACAAACTATCTCACAGAGTTTAGTCACGGAATAAGTTCAATGCGTCTACATATATATTTATTTGGTCGCAGAAACTAACACACCGAGGTAGTGATTAGCAAAGTACTGGCATTGTTAAGAGGCTACATATAAATAGTTACTACTCGCGTAATCGCGTTTAATAAAGGGCAAGTTTTCTGGTGAAGTACTTTGGTACCTTCGGGGTTCGGGGTTCGGGGTTCGATTCCAAATCAGTACCCTTTCTTTGTGTCTCCTGTCAAAGATTCCCCACATGGGTACAATGTGTGAAGCCCATTTCCGGTGTCCCTCACAGTGATAATGCTGTAATTTTGCTTAAAAGCGACCTACAACCATACTTACTCACTCACTCATGTCAGAGATTCTACTAAGATGCTAATAGTGATGTGAAACCAATCTCACAAACACAATCACGAACTAAGACATAGTTTAACACATCTCGCATCGATATATTGTACCATGTGAGAGCATGGCTATCTACTCAGAAAATGATTATTCCATTCCTACGTGTTGACAATGTCGTGCAAACACGCCAATTACAAACATTTTTTGTGTGTTTTGTTTTAGGGGTTTATTTTTGGGGGGTCTTTTTTTCTTTTTCTTTTTAGTTCTTATTTGTTTTGGGTTTTTTTGTGATGTGCACATGAACATGGTGTTGGTAAAATTCGAAATTCAGAGTGAAACATGTCAGTGTTTCGCTGTTCACTTCAGTGGTAAATTTCATGCACAAGATTACATGCCTGTCTGACCCTACCTGTTTGTATGCTACCTGCTGATGAGTCATCGTGTTGCTTTGAGATAACCCTTGGCCTTTGACGAGGAAGTTCAGTATGTCAAAGAAGGTATATACAACATGTTAAAACACTACATGAAAGCGAGATATCGCCCCATGTGTGTGTATGACTATCTACTTTTGTTATAAGCACAAGCGCGTTTTTGGAAACTGCATTGAGAAAGTACCTTCACACCATGTCGTTTTTCTATAGCCAGTTTTATGAATATGGTTAGCTATTTTCACGGGATATATTGCCATTGCACAGCAAAGAGAAATCACATTCTAAGTGAAAAATTAAAACAATGTTTAAAACGCCTTATTTTACAATCAATATTCGCTTGGACATTATATTAACGTGCAAACAGTATATTAACGTACCAACAGTACATTTAAACGCGTATCCATCAACATCATCAAGGAGTGCGTATTTAACAATGAGGCAAAAAAGCAGATGTATATATCCAATATGCGACACCAATTTATTCAATTCCTAATCCGTTTCAGCAGGGAGACTATATTATGTTGTAGATTATCCCTGGTTTCAGCATGGAAAAACATTCGTCTCAAATATCTCCAGGTCACATGTTTGTAGCTATTTCTTCTTCATATCGATGGCATGCACAGAACCCTCAACAGCGTAGCTGTAGTACTAATTTAATTTGTGATCGTTGTGTTTATGGTTTGCGGGGAGCTCCCTGAGAAGTTTATCCTCTTTCATTGCGGGGTTCTGGGACAGAGCAACGTAAACCGTCTTGGCTTTGCATCAATCATTCTTGTAACCAGACATTCTTGAAGAGACATCATTTGTGGCTCCTACTCGATATCTACAGGGATCCAACATAGATAAAGTCACAGTGCAGGGATATCAATGTTCTGCTGCATGTGTTGAAAATGTACAAGCTGAGGTGCCAGAAATACCTTACTCAGTGTGTCTGTCTCTGTCTGTGTGAGCATGTCTCTCTCTCCGTCACTCTCTCTTTCTCTCGATCTCATAATAATCACAACTTCATACGAGTTTATTTCACATAACATTTACGATTTCATTTGTTAAATGGTATGTGAAAAGAATAAGCATTTAATTACCAATAATAACACCCAATCCGGGTTGTCTACTTCCAACTGGTTTTAAAGAATACTTGTAGTATCTGTTAGTGAGAAGATAAGATGTGTCTGTTTGCACACGATCAAATATGCATGTACATGTGTATGGCGTAACTATTAATCTTGAACCAACAAATCACAGGGACATGAGACATGTCCTGATAATCTTCAAATTACAAAATGAATTTAGTTTACTGATTTGGACAGAAAGAGAAGTAGGATAAGGAGAGGACTGCAGACGAAAAGTTTCCCGGCTGAACCTGTAAAAAGATATATAACGACAATTAATCGAAGAAGTTCATAAAATATACCTGGATTTAGACACATTATATGATTAAGAATAAATCTAAAAATATTAATCTCTTGGTTATTATATAAGCTAGTGCTCAAACTATGTACCGCAAAATATTACATACAAATCCACATAAATAAAACGAAGTGATAAAACCATACTGAGTCATGTCAGACATCTACAGACCCATCCTTTCCGGGAACAAACGGCGAAACAAATGAACGTCGCAAAACATAAAAAAACCTTCTTCTGATGTAACACGGAATGCACGTGCATACTGGCGGTATAAAACAGCCTACGCGACACGTGAGCAGCACAGTAGTGAAAAGAACACAAAAAATATGCCATGTTTGAGGCAAATCGAAAGAGTTGGAGAGCTGTCGGAATGGCCCAACAAGGAGCTAACCACACCGACATAGCCAGAACCTTCGGATGCACCCGTGCAACTGTCATCAGACTGATGCAACGACTAAGACAAACAATACGTCAGACAGGCCTTAGAGTGGTCGAGTGTGACAACGCCCGGTGATGATTGCCACATCAGGACAATTCATCTGAGATATCATTTTGTATCGGCGACGTCAACGGCCGAGGCGGCACTAGAACACCGTAGCAGTCGACAAACAGTGCACTGCCGATGAAGAGAAGATGGGATGCGAGCACGTCGACCCTTGAAAACCGACGTCGTCGTTTGACATGGGCCAGACATAGGCGTGATTGGCGACGTGCGATGTTCACTGACAAGAGTATTTTTTGCCTGGACAGTAATGACAGCCGGGCTCGTGTTTACAAACTCGTAAGAAGCTTTTACATGTATATTAGGACTATCGAATTTCGGCTTCTCAACGGCGGGCAAGTAAAAAGGAGAGTGTAACTAGTGAAGACAAAGCAATTATATAATGTAATAGCGGTACTAACCACAGCCTTGCTCATTCATTAACTTCTGTGTTTGTTCGATTTGACTAACATAGGAATCGGCTCCACAGTCTTTGAGTAATCTCTTTGCACAGTCAATGTATGCGATGGCAGACCTAATAGAGAATTTCACTTATTGTTGACAAAATATCATTTTTAAGCGTTTGTATCATTTTGAGATACTGAGCAGACATTTTTTGTGTATTTGTTTTCCTTTTAATAAAACACTTCACCCACATTTTTAGTCAATATTTGGCTACCTACGTATACTATCCCATCCCAATCCACATCCTACCACCTTAGTGTCATTTGTAAAAAGTGAAAACGATTCTGTTCAAATTCCTCTTTGTGTAAAACTGCATACAATTCCAAAACAAAATGATACTTTTCAAGAAATTAAACAATTTAATAAAATTTACTAAAATAAATGTTCATTATCACGACTCCATCATTGTTGATACAGCAATGCGCATATTACTGATAGCTTTCAAAAATAGAGGCAAAGAGAACATACTGGCATACTTCCTGGAGAGTTGGATTGTCTTTCATAATACTGCCAAGCCTCGTCTCTTCTGAGTCACAGGCACTTGGGTCGCATGCCCCTTCCACCTTGATGCTGAGGGCTGTAATGAAAAAACATACGTACACAATTGTATACAGAAAACCTTATATTACGATAAGATGTCATCACGCAATACACGCAGTTCCCAACGTCGACATACAATAACGCTTTTATTGCGTTTGCCCACCGGTTTAACATGATTACCTTTTATTGTTTGTTTGCTGTTCAACGCCACACTCAGCAATATATCAGCTTTATGACGGTGGTCTGTAAATAATGGAATCTGGACCAGACAATCCAGTGATCAACAGCATGAGCATCGATCTACGCAATTGGGATATGATGACATGCGTCAACCAAGTCAGGAGGCTGGCCACCCGATGCTGTTAGTCGCCTCTTACGACATGCAAGTAACTTGTCAGAGACAGTATACTGACTCATGCCAGTGCATATTTAACCCCTTCATTCTGGGCACCAGTTGGTACCACCCTTAAACGTGTAAAATGTGTGTTCCTTGAGCCTTGTGTTGATAGGTCGGAGCACAGATGCCTTCATCACCAGCATCGAGAGTGGACTGCAGTAACTGGCCCCCAACGGCAACGTGGACTGTCTCCTCCACCAGATCGCCAACATCATCAAGAAGGCCCCAAAACCAAAGCATAACCTTACCAGAGATGAGGGACGTGCCATGGCTGAACTACAGAAAGATAACACCATGACCATAACTGAGGCTGACAAAGGCAAAGTAGCAGTCATCATGGACACCCCGGAATTCCTCCAGCTCATCAACAAGACAACTCTCTGACACCTCCACCTACCTCACCATCCCCAAGGACCCTACTGCACGATTAGAACGCCAACACAAGAAGACCCTGAAAGAACTCCACAACAACAACCAGATCAACGATACCATCTACAACCACCTGAAACCTATCAACTCCCAAGCAGCCATTGCCAGAGCCACCATCAAGATCCAAAAGAACACACCTAAAGCCATGATACTAGTCTGCTCCAGAGGATCAGTCTTCGACAACACCGCCCACTTCCTCTCCCGCCTCCTAGCCCCTTTGGGAAAAGAGGGTAAGTCCTATATCAGCGAGTCCCCGTCCTTCATCAACCAGCTGCAAGACGTCAACCTGACAGCTACCATGGTGAACTGCATTTGTACGACGTCGTCGACCTTTTAACCAACATCCCTCTACAGGAAGCCCTTAACATGCTTCGGACCAAGCTCCACACCAGAATAGGCCAACTCGAAACCAAGCTCACAATAAACAGCATCATCAACCTCACCTCCATCTGCTTTGAAACCTCCTACTTCACCTTCAACGCCAAGATCTAGAAACAGATTCACAGACTCCTCGTGGGTTCCCCTCTGCCCCCCCCCCCCCTCATCACAGAGATCGTCATGACATCCTTTGAAGAATCAGCCCATTCCAACCTCTCTGCTGTTACTGCAAAGTTGGTGACACCTTCACCAACATCGCCCATCATAACGACCCAGACCACATGCTGCAACATCTCAACGCCCAACATCCTAGAATCGAGTTCACCATGGAAACAGAGACCGACCACCAACTCCCCTTTTCACATGTCTCCCTGCAATCCACAGACTATGGACTCAAGACCTCCATCTACCGCAAGCCAACACACACCAACCAGTACATCTACTACAACTCTTGTCATCACCCCCCAGATCAAGCAAGCCATCGTAGCCACCCTCACCAGATGTGCCAAATCCATCTGCCACCCAGACGCCCTCAGCAACCAACTACAACATCTAAAGGACACATTCACAGCTCTCAATGGATACCCTGTGTACCTTGTCACCAAGACCATCAACAAGACCCTCAACACCATATAGACCAGCCCCAAGCCTGCACCATCCCCTATCAGAGTGACTATTCCCTACAATGGACCTGTCAGCCACAAGATTTCCCGCCTCATCAAGAACCAAGCCAGCATTGACCTTACATTTTCTAGTGGTAAGATCATTGAGTATCTTCTCAGGGCCAACGGCAGAGGATCCAGCACTGCAAGTCCCAAGGGGGTGCATTTACCAGATTCCATATAGTTGTGGACAACAGTACATCGGGGAAACGCTGCAACCTATCAACACATGTCTCAAGGAACACCAAGCCTCCGTCAACAAGCTCGACCAGAAGTCCGCCATATCGGAACATATCCTCAAGAACAAGGTCCACACCATACAATGGGAGGCGACCAAAGTCTTGTCCACCACCAACAACAACTGACGCTAAAGGAAGCTTCAGGAAGCCATAGACATACGGGACAACAGCCAGCCATCAACCGTGATCGACGGATCTATTTACCATGTGCTTGGGACTCACTTGTCTAAAGACACTCACATATGCCTAACTTGTTAGGTTCCATACTGCCTACATCCCAAACTGCCATAAAAGAAATTGTAGGCAGCGTGGGAAATGATTTTTTGCCCTGTAGAATAATGGAACAGCCCAATTATCAATGAAGAAGGGATGTGTCTTTTAAAGTAAGGTAGTAGTAGTTATTTGCTTTATTTAATGTCGCACGCACAACTAATGTATTTTGGCGACGGGGTATTACACTTATACCTGCCTGCATGAGTTTGGTTTTACGCCATTTTTAGCAATATTCCAGCAACATCACGGCGGGGGACACCAGAAATTGGCTTCACACATTTTACCCATGTGGGGATTCGAACCCGGGTCTTCGGCGTGACGAGCCAACGCTTTAACCACTAGGCTACCCCATCGCCCCGACACTTATACAAGAAATGAGGGGAACAAAAAATTTTGAAAGAGTGGTGTTACTACAAAAAAACCAAAACCCTCAACAACTGAGAATTAAGGGAAATTTGAATCGGATGCCGAATTAAAAGGTAATTTTACTTTTATCAACGAGTGTTGATAAATTTGATACGAGGGTGAGATTCTATTTATCATCAAAAATCACTCTTCATTAGTTTTCAATGAAAAATGTACATCTCTGAACCGTACTGCCATTAGATTTGCAGTGCAGCGATGTCATAACATTGTGACGTCAACAAGTTCAGGACGTCATAGCATTGTAAGGGCATTATTACAAAATCTACTGTCAAAACGATATCTCCTAGGACATATCGTCTGATCTCACACAAGCGATATCTACTGTGGAACACAGTTTTGGATGATAAATCCAAGTCTCCATGTAAAGACAGAGAATTCTCAGAATGAATACACCAACCAACACTTGTCATTCTTTACCCCATCTATTGCCTTGTCGTTTTAGTGTATCGTTGACCACATGTTTGTATTACATATTCATTCCTCAACATTGTTAAACATGTTTTATTAGAAGCTCGTCATATATGTATATATATCCCCCCCCTCATACTCCCTACCATTCACCCGATGAAGGAGCAACCATACACTCCGAAACGTCGTGTTATTCACAATAATAAAATTGTCATCCATAAGTCTTTCTTTTCCTCACAGGCTCGTTTAAAGCATTAAAATCACATAAACCTCACAAGTTGTACACAGGTCAATCCGTACCCAACACCAATAGGGCAACTATCACCAGGTTACGAAACATGCTGCTCTTCCAAAGGACCGACAGAATCTTGTGATAGAGCTTGAGCAACGCCCACGTTCAGGTTTGCAAAATTGGGTAGATTTATACTGACTTGAAATACTTTTTACAGAGCTCGCAACTGGTAATGTCAAGTCATCGAATGCTGTTTTGGGGGGGTTGGCCCACATCAACTCGGTGGGCGTTTCTTCATTGTAACTGACACTGGCGTTATTCATACGTTAGATTCCTTTGGCAAGACAACTGCTCGGGATGTGTTTGTGTATCTTCAAAGTAGGCAGCATGTTATCAGAGGCATGCGGCCTCAGTTCCACATGTCTGGGTATTGTTGTCATTAGGCAAACATTGCTGAGTGAGATTGAATTATTTTTTTAACTTTTTAATCTTCTTTTAAATGACCCATACAGAATGAATATGATTTGGGATATGACTTTCATCAGTAAATATATGTCAGACAACATGTTATTTAACCTAATTAAAAAGATAATTTAGTAGAGTTACTTCCAATACTGTTTCATGTTTTTATGTATTTACCGTGTTTAATTTCTTAGGAATGACCGATGACCGACAAAATGTGAAACATACTTTGATTGATCTTCAGCTTATTAAATGTTAAAGCCATGAAGATCCGGATCAGATTTGGCCTTCAGCAAACCACATGCTTGTCGTAAGAGGCAACTAACGGGATCGGGTGGTCAGACTTTATTGACACATGTCACCGTATCCCAATTGATGCTCAGACCAATGCACATGATGTTGATCGCTGGGTTGTCTGGACCAGATCCAATTATTTACAGACTGCCGCCATAAAGGTGGAATATTACTGAGTGCGGCGTTAAACAACAGACAAACAAAACTGTTACGTGGGACCATACGTTCATGAGACAAAGTTGGACAACGCCCCTGTTGTTTATATTACTGACTCACAACATCTGTCTAGAGTCACCCACGTGCAAGATACGCGCTCATTAAGGCTGAAACAGGAGGAGAATGACATGTCCTACCGTGATATCGCTCTGTTCATCGTGTGATATTTAAATTAGGAAATAAATTTCTAAACTTACAAGAGCACTGTGTGTGCGGGTATTTTTTAGAGCCCCATGAGTAGATCAAATGGGACTTTAGTGATCAATTTACTACATTACTTATATTGTCCGTATGTGTCTCTTTGCGATGAGGTTTTCACCGTCTTCAGCAGATGGTCATGTAATAAACCGACTGTGGCCAATACGACATCGTCGTAAAATTACCTCATCACGTCTTGACTGACAACCCAAGTAGGTATAACCAATTGTTGGCTTCAATTCATACAGCTTTATGTCCTCCTACTTGGAGTGCTAAGAAGGCAGTGAGATGGGGCCGTAGTTGTGGTTGTTGATTGCTGCGAGCGAGCTGACTGAGGTGGGTGGACCCGTGGCCTTGACCTTGTCCGAGAGGTTGTCCGAGGTTTGTCGTGAATGTAGCTTGTAATGGGAGGTATGAAGGTGT